AGTCTATTCTTTTATGATTCATTCAATAAACAAGTGTCTATTATTCCTAGGTGCTAAAGTTAATAAACAAAACTTTGCCCTCACAGAGCATACGGCAAATGAGGAAGACAGACAATTAGGTATTTAATTATAATATCATGTGGTATGTTATATTATAGAAGCAAAGGCACTAGGGGCACACATTTCCCCGGGGGACGGTCCAGTCTACTTTGGTGGGAGCAGGGTGTCTTGGAAATCACATTCATGTGGGGACGTAAGAATGAGTAGCAGTGAAATTAACTACTAATCCAAAGGCCCCAAGGAGACTTCAAAGGAGCTGGCACCATAAAGGAGTTGAAAGAAGCTCAATAATCTTGACGATAGGAATATGTGCAGTCATTTGCATCTCTTGACATGCTACTGTACTGGCTTTGAGAGCGAATACAATTCTCTAGTCACAGACTGCTCTGAATAGGCAATCTATTCTAACTTTAACACTGTGGCAACAATTCCGAAACAGCTTTCATCTCGGTTTTTTAACATGAATTCAAGGACAGTATTTTGTATTTCATAAAACAGAAGAGCAGTATAGGTAAAGAATAGCATTTTGGTCCCCAATTTTTATGAATATATTTTAAACTTGAACTACTTTATTCTACTAAAATATTTTCTGAGGCATATGGAAATTTGGTAAGTTCTAAATCTAGTGAGAAGTTTGTTTAGTTGGAGGTAGAGAAACAAGTAAGAGGAGGATCCATCTACTGAAGTAAGATCAACAGTGATAAGTGGAGGCCCAAGAGCTCATGCTTCCAAATAGCTAGTTAGCATCATGACAGCAGGGAAGAAAAATAGGTAAACTAGTTTAGCAGATATATATGTATCTCATTGTTACCCTCATTGCCTCTTTACTAAACAAACAGAAATCCTATGAATTTATTGCAGACATCATGATGACTAAGAAAATTTTCACCATCTTCAGTAATTCTGGACAATACATTGTGTGCCATTGGAAGTCATTTCTTTGATTTGGGTAAGTGGCTGACTTCCTCGCCATATTCAACCAGCTCCCATCTCCTCAATGGACTTTGTTTTGAATAGGAAATCTTGCCTGTGAAAAAAGTGACAAAAGAAGACCCTTGCTTCTAGGCCAACCAAAATGTTTCTAGGCAGGAGAGATATAATTCAATTAGGGGTAATTTTATATTTATATTCTTAATAACCAAAGGTAGTCATCTTACTTGAGTTATACTTAATGTAGGGTGGGTCATCATCTAATTTCACCATACACCTAAAAATCATGGTGATAACAGACTCACTTACATCACTAATTAGGTCTTTATCCAAGTCTTTTAGACAATTATGTTTGGATTTCACATTTAGAGGGATGAGCAAGAGGGGAATCGACTTACATTTAGGGAGCCTGTATGTCATATTATTTCAGAGCATGAAATTTGAAGACAGAGATCTGACTTGAGTAAATTTGTCATTTACTAGTTATGCAACGTTGGACAAATGAGATTAACCTCTTAGTACTGTACTTTGATTTGTTTCTCTGAAATATGGATAATAGTTACATACTTTTTTTTAGGTTAAAATGAAATAAAACATGCAAAGTTCTTGGCACAGGGCGTTACACTTAATATGTTTCAGCATTAAGTTGTGCTAATTATTCCTGGTTATTAACTGTTTTGGCCTTTGTTCTCTAGGAGATTGGATCTTGCTATTTGGATATGGCCAATGGGAGGGCTGGGCAAGACATTAGAGGGTGGGAGGTAAGGGGGTGGGTATTTTATTTCCCTTACTCCTTCCCTGTTGGACTTCAATTTTGGCACTAACAGAATTCCTCCACTTACGGCCACAACTCTGGTCCAACAGCACCTCCCACCACCACCACCACCCGTAGCTAGAGTTCATAGTCAACTATTAATAAGACTTCCACCTCTTCAGGCCTAGGAATGGTCATGGTTTTTCTTCTCATTGTTGCTTCAGGTGCTTTGTTCCTACTGTTGCTTGTCCTAGGTGCTCCACAGTCTTTTCTCATTCCTTTAAGGCCTCTGTAAACTGTCTCTTTATGAAATTTTCTTCAGTTAAATCCTTTATATGTGCCACTAGTTTATGCTGGGACTTTGACGTACATAAAATAACAATAAAGAATTTATTTGGACTTAAGGAAGAACATCTTTCTTGGTGAATCATTTTAATAAATGTTGCAGGAAGTTAATATAAGAAGTTCTAAATCTAGTGAGAAGTTTATTGGGATGGGGATGGTTTGTTGTTCTGATGTAAACCCAGCTTTGAAGGCTGTAGAAAGTTTGTTTATATGGCAGCGGGTGGTGGGAAGGAAGGGTGGAGTTATTTTCTAGACACATAAAACAACAAGATCATATCTACAATGGCAAAATGAGCATGAGGATTATGGAGAAAGTAAGGATATGTGGTGGGCTGTAACGGGCAGTTTATATTTAAGGCTGTGGTAGGCAGAATAACTGTCTCCCAGAGATGTCCATGTCCTAATTCCTAGAACCTGTAAATATGTTACCTTAGTTGGTACAAAGGCCTTGGCATATGTAAGTAAATTAAGGATCTTGCAATGGGGAGATTATTCTGGTGGGCCTCTTGTAATCACAGGGGGATCCTTAGGGAGGCAATAAGGGCAGAGTCAGAGAAGGAGATGTGATAATTAAGCAGAGTCAGAGAGAAAGATCTGAAGAACCCTGCTGGTTTTGAAGATGGAGAAAGGGGCCACAAACCAAGGAATGCAGGTGCCCTGTAGAAGCTGGAAAAAGCAGGGAAACTGATTCTCCCTTAGAGCCTCCAGAAGAAATGCAGCCCCGGTGACATCTTGATTTTAGTCCAGTGAAACTTTTGATCTATAGAACTATAAAATAGTAAATTTATGTTGTTTTAAGCTGGTAAATCTGTGGCAATTTGTTACAACAGCAATAGGAAACTGATAGAGGGGTAGTAGGAGATAGAGAAAGGTGCTGGATTAGGGCAGTCAGTTGAGAATTTTGTATTTTATCTTAAAAGTAACAAAAAAACACCAACAATTTTTCACTAAAAACTCATATATAATGAAAATGCTGTATTGGGAGGGTGGACTCGAGGTTGGGTTTAGATTGGAGACAAGAAGATGAGCTCTGTAGTATTGTGCATGGATTGGTAGGGTGATGAGACCCCATATTAGGTAGGGACTCCAAGAATTGATGAGAAGTTTCCAAATATGAAAGAGATTGGTAAGAAAGAGCTGACACAATATGCTGACTGATGAGGAAATTAGCAAAGGAAGAAGTAAAATTTCAGATTCTTAATGTTGTGTTGTGAAACAGGCATAAATATAGCACAATTGAAGAGCTTGTCAATTCTGAGACAATCACTTTTTTAAATTCTAAATTTCCATAGGATTGAATTATACATGCCTGCACATGGAATCTTAATATTACAATTTAGAAATATTTACACATTATTTTCTTTCAAGTCCCTTCTTGGATTCAGCAAGGTGTATTACACCAACATATATAAGAAACCATAACTTGTTAACATCTGTTATTTTAAGTTTCATTATGTGGTTTTAGAGGATATACAAACCTCATTTGATCATTTCTGCACTAGAGACTGCTTATTTGGTAAAATGAAAAAGGTACAACTTGACTAGTTAGTAAATTACTGTATTCAGATTTTGCATAAAACCAACAATAAAATGCAAAAAACCTGCAAAAATTTGAGTTGGAGTGGAGTCATAGGTCAAATATGTGTAAAGGGTAGTGACAGTAGCTGGTAAGTTAGTTAAACCACTCACTGGCTGTGATGCTGTTCCGCAGTTACCACTGTTTGGATTACTGGACATTTCCTGAGTAGTGGAAAATATTTGGATGAAAAGCCAGTAGCTCATTATTAACTGTCTTTACACCACCTCACCATGAAAAAAGCTCTGCCTGCTAATAATCCATTTCTAAGTGATCTTCATAAAAGTTAACAATGCTTGGCCATCTAAGGCAGGACTAAACTGGCTGGTTCTCCTCTGTTTTAAATGGTAAAGATACTAAATTAACTAGTAGTAATAAGTATGCCAGCAGTGAAAATACTGAACAATTTAATATCAATGATATGCTAAAGCCAACCATTAATCAGGCGATTTTCTTTCATGCAGCTTCTATCAATAAACTTTCACTTATCTGCCTTCTGTTTTTCACCTTTTCAACCCCCTACCCCCCAATCAGTACCTGGTAAAAAAAGATATGACCATAGGTAAATCATTGGGAAAATCTTAGAAAATGGTCTAATTAGACTTTTTTTTTTTTTACTAAATTGGATATAACTTTGCATTGCTACTGTGTTTTTCAAGTCTCCTCCTTTATAATACATATTTATACACAAGTAGCAATACTATATCTTGTATCTTAAAAAATACGTCTGTGCTGCGATATTTACAGAGTAAATGTTCACTATTCCTTCCTAAATTTCAAAATGTTCCTCCTCTTGGGTACTGACATAGAGACATCATTTTGGGACAAGCAGCAGTTTTCCCTTACATCCCTCTTTCCTTGTTTCGTAGCGGAAAAGACTTTGAATATTAGACTGCAAGAAAGGCAATAAAGTCCACTCTTGGACAACCAGAGGGTAGGAACTTTGCACATAAATCAGGTGACCTACAGTTATCAACCCTAACCCCCGCCAAAAAAGGGGAGGAGAGCCATTAGCAAAGTCCTAAAATACAATGTATATTGTAAAGAACAAAACAAAACAAACTTTAATTTGAAAAGTCAATTCTCCTGTATAAAGTTTTCAGCACTGCCTCACTCCTCCTCTTGGAGTGGAGGGGTTTAACTAATTCTTATCAAAGCCCAAACGCGAAACTCTGTTCTGTACACTAACCGGGCCGGGCGACCTGGAGTGCCCGAAAGTAGACGGGCGCTCCCTCCTCCTCTCTGGACCGCGGCTCTGTGTCCCTCCCTCCCTCCCTCGCCAAGCCCCGAGCCCACGCACGCAGGAGATGCTCAGAGAAAAGCGGAGTCGCTCACCGGTAAGGAGCCAGCAGCAGGCGACAGCGACCCCTGGGCTGGCGCGGCGCCGGGGGGCCATGGCCGGAGCGGCCGCAGCCCCTGGGGCGCGCTGGTTCCGAGGGCAGGACCTGGCAGGACCCCGCGTGGAGGCTGCGCGCTGGGCCCCTCCGCCCGCTGCCGCCGCGGTCCTCGGTCCTCGGCCCCAGCCGGCCGCGGCGCCCAGGAGCGGGAGAGGAGTGATTTCCTGTGTTTGCGTCGAATGCCTCTAAATCCGCTCCACGCTTTTCACATCCCAGACGGATTGCCACATCGCCCGCCCCTTCGCGCCCTCGGTCTCTGAAATCCCACTGGCAGCCTCCCAGGCTCTGTCCGGGACATGGACAAATAAAGCCAGCTTCGCGGGTCCGTGTTTAGGCTAAAGTCCACGGGCCGCAAAGCAAACCTTAAAGGGACATCTGCCTTTCATTTAGAGGGTGATCCCGCTCTCCGTGCCAAATCCCTAAGGTGGTAGGAAGGCGGGCAAGGGCTGGACCTTCGGGAGGGTGTCGCCAGCTCGGTGGCTCCGCCTTCGCACCCCTTACTTCTCCGGGTCTGGGCAGGAAGGGCGCTCTGACAGTGCCCTGTCCGGGCTCCTCCGCCCTTCAGAGGAGGCTGCTCTCCTGGGGCGCGACTGCTCGGAAGGGACCAGACCGTCTGTGAAAGTGCGCGCACTTGACCTGCACCGTGAAGTCGTCTCGCACTGCAAGGGGCGTCCTCACCACCCCAACACGCCCCGCTGAGGGCTTTGCTTTCGCTTACGGAGGGGCTGCTTCGTTTGTGGTGATTCGTGGTTAGAGGGTGGTCGCAGATAAGCTTTTCTTTGGGGAGACTATGATAAGGGGAGAAAAGGAGAAACAAGACTGGGAGGAAAAAAGTAAGAGGAAGAAAGAGACAAACGCAAAAGGGAAGCAGGAGGAAAACGGAGGGAGGAAAGCAGTCTCCTCAGAAATGGAATGTGTGTGGGCTATTTTGTTTAAGCTGAATTAGAATGTTTGTACACTGGGAATTGAATCTAATGAACTCCGGGTACTGCTTCATTTTTTTTCTTGCCACTGACTTTTATGAGTAAAACTGCATTAAGTGGTGTTCACGTTACTCCTCTCTGATAGACTAGGGACAGAAGTGCTTAGGAGTTTGCAATGGTTTCCTTGCCCCGCGAGTTGAACAGCTTCCCTAAGTCAAAAGCCAGATTCCAGATTCACATCTTAGCTTCAAAGAATACTTGCTATTTTCCTATTTTCTTTTCACCTTTTTTTTTTTTAAGAGGCAGGATCTCCCTCTGTTGTCCATGCTGGACTGCAGTCACTGTAACCGTCAACTCCTGGGCTCAGGCTGGGACTACAGGCAATTTAACAACTATTAATAATTAAATATCTCTATTTAGCAGGACTAGGGCTAGGCAGGACGTGAGTGCCACCCAAAGGAGAGCCTGTTGCCTAGAACACAACACAGGTAACACAGTACAGGTAATACAAGGAACAGGAAGGGAGACGCCCACAAGGATGATTGGATATATTGCCAGAGAGAGGATTGTAGCAACTAAAAGTTGGAGAGCACAAAAGTTAAAGAAGTGTAATGAAGGTCAAAAAAGGAGCAGGCAGAGCTGCGAGGTTGAAGGCCATCAAATCTCAGTACGTTGACCCATTAGCCAAGGAATTCCTTTTCTAATTTATGTATTTGAAGTGATTCACTACTTAGTAAATATATTAGAAATCCTGTTTCCCCCTGTTTTTAGCTTTCATAATGTCATTTCTTAGTTCTGTCTTCAAAATTACACAAATACATCTCTACAAAAGTTGTGTTGGGTCACAGTTCAATTCCTTTAGACACTGCTTAGCTTCCTTTGCCTCCCTTCAATACTCTCATTTCTTGCCAAAGAACGTCTTTCCTTTGTACATATCACTACCCTGTGTATAGTCTCAGTTATGTCTATGCCTCTCAGTATGATCCATTGAAACTTACACAGTAACCAGTAAACATTGATTAATGCTTGGGTATTTAAAAATTGCAATAAATAATATCCCAACAATATTTCTCCAAATCACTTCATTTTCAAAAATATATACAATATATGTTTATATGCACAAACATGTGTCTATATATGTGTGTGTGCATATATATGTACAGCATATACACATATGCATATACATATATGGCATTCTAGCAAATTACAATTCATTTCATTGGAAAAAACAAAAAGAAATTGTAAAATACCTTATTTAAAGAAAGTGGTGTTAAAATACACTTATAATATGAAGCTGGGTGTGGTGGTTCACACCTGTCTTTGGGATGCCAGGGCAGGAGGCCCTCTTGAGCCCAGGAATTTGAGATCAGCCTAAGCAAGAGTGAGACCCCATCTCTAGAAAAAGTAGAAAAATTAACTGAGCGTGGAAGATACATGCTTGTAGTCTCAGCTACTCGGAAGGCTGAGGCAGGAGGATTGTTTGAGCCCAAGAGCTTGAGGTTACAGTGGCCTATGATGATGCCACCATACACTAGCCTGGGCGACAGAGTGAGACTCTGTTTCAAAAAAAATAATCATTATAATATTATCAAGTCTATAATTATTGGGAAATTTACCCTGTTTGGGACTAATACATGCTTTCGATTTAAATATTTTTATCTTCTCTAGGACTTACAAATGAGTGGTGATAGCCATCACTACCAGTGATATTGTTAAAATTAATTTCATATGTGTTATGAATCTTACAACAATATTTATGGATCTTCTAACATGTCAAATCAGTGCAAATGTAGAGACTGAGAAATAACTATTGTCTGAGAATTCAATTTAGAATAAGTGCTTATTTTCTAAACTTCAATAAACCCAAATACAAATCAATGTCAAGAAAGCTATTTTCCTAACTGATTTTATTCTGACTGACAGAAAGATATGTCATCGAGTAAACTGAGGTGTAGAGAAGTTAAAACTTGCCCAGGGTCACAAACTATTAATAGTAATTATATTAGGACACTTGATGGTAAATGTAAAGCCCAAGACCTTATACTATATACTTTTCTATTTTAAATAAGACCTAATCTGATCAGATCTCTTTCAGAATTTGGGAGCATGAGTTAAAATTAAGAGTACACTAAGAGATTAGAGAAAAACTGATTAAGATTTTGGAAAGTAGAAGTCTATGAAATGAGGCAAGAGTAATTGGGATTATTGATCAATAATCTCAAAAAGAAAAGCATATGCTTCATACCAAAGTATTCTTCTTGGAGTTAATCTAATATACTGAGTAAAATTACTAGAGTAAGTAAGGTTCTGGAGTTACACTGCTTGGATTCAAGTCCTGGAACCACAATATTGTAGCAGTGTGATTTAGAAAAATTATCTAGTTTCTCTAAGCCTCAGTTTTCTCAAACATAAAATGAGGATGAAAATACTATACTGCCTCTCTCTGAAGATTGTTGTGAAGATTAAATGAGACAAGCCTACATGTATTTAGCACAATGCCTGGCTTAAAGTAAGTACTCAATAGCTATTGATCATTCTTCACAGTAGGAGAATTGGTATTAGACAGACCACGAAAACAGAGGGAAGGCCTTGTGTGTGGTAGACCCTGTAGGAAGTGATGTAATTTGATGATCATCAGAAAGAGAACTTCAGTTTGGCTAAAAATATCTCCATCACATCTATTATAGTTTCTGGAATCTTCACCTTTAGAATACTTACTTTGGATTAGGGAATTATCTTGAAGTTATTCCTATAAAATGGGCATACATTAAGATATCAGAACCCATTATAATATTAACATGAATTTGCTTTTCAACTTGGCTAGCTGACAAAAGGATCTTTTTTTTAAACAAGAAAATTTCACTAAGGTTGAGAATAGAAGAGGGTCTAGAAACCTGCTTCTAGTGTCTTCCAAATCCTCTGGTAGTAAGATTATGGGTTCTCAAAGTCACAGGATAAGTAAGGTACTCCCACTTGGGTAGGAGGGTGGTGCCAATTTTACTTAATAGTAAATAATTTTAAAATATTTGTATGCTAAAATAATAGAATTTTATAAGAAAAATTCAAAAGTTGTTTTTTTAGAAGTTAAATATGAGGTTTCAAATAAGTTTTAAGGTAGCACCAAAGTGTGCTTTCACCCCACCCCCTTTCCCCTCCTCATTAGGAGTAGGTGAAAGCATCTAGAACTGCTCTGTTTTCCCAAAGGTTTCATAAAGATTCAGATTTTTTAATCTTACAATGTAAGTACTCAGGGGGAATATGCCCCAAGAGAGCGGTCTAACTCACAAGGCTAACCCATCTGGAAAACTTAGTCTCATTCAATAATTTTAAAGTTTCTGCTATATATTGGGCTACTGGGTTATGTTCTACAGAGGCAAAGATGGGTAGAACACTTGTTGTTCTACTGCACATCTGCTGTTAATTAATTTCTTTCCCTTGTAACTAGGAACAGAAAATAAGTAATATTTCCTCAATTCTAACATTGGCGTGTTTCATTTTAAGTCTATTAAATTAAACAGTCTAGTGAAATTATCCTTTAGTTGTTGCTGCTACACCTTGAGAACCCATGATTGCTTCCTTTATGACCAAAATAAAGTCACAGCGATGCAGAGCTTGAACTTCACCACTAGCCAACCATTTGCTTTTTGTTATTACGTAATGTTCTTGTGTGTTTTTTCACTTAAAATATAAAATAGGTGTTCCTCCCTCCCTATTTCCTGCACAAGTCTGTGCCAGAAACCTTGGCCAAACACATTTGGGCACTGGTACTTAAAAAAAAAAAGAAACATCAACAAAAAAAACTTGACTTCAGAATCCTGGTGAGGAATTCTTAACACTGTAGGAAACTTCCCTAGATTATTGGCAAACCTCAACATGAGTGACACAGCAGGGCAGCAGCAACGGAGGGTGGACCAGGGTTGTGCCCTGGAAAGAATATTCAATTCGTGGCACTCTCTGACTCACTAACAACCACTGATGAGCAGTAACATTTCAGCTGCATTGTTGGGTCCTTTTATTTGAAATATGAGTTAATTATATTTTGAACTGTTAGGCAATTCTAGAATTGTTTGAAGAGGTTGATTTAGTTATTTTTTTTAACCTATTTGTAAAAAGTTAAATAAAGTAGGTATGCTCCAAAATCCTAGGATTATAACAAATAAATGAGATTGACATTTCTTGTAGTAGGACTGGGTCACTAAAGACAAGTGTGGGGAAGTACCCTTCATCTTTAATACAAAATAAATGCATCAAGGGGAAGAAAGTCTACTATTTGGCTTTGAAATAACACTTAAATAGCTTGTTTTACAATTATGTGCCTATTTTTCAGCTGCTCTACTAGACCATAATCTATACAAAGATAGTCAATTACTCACTTTTGTCCTCTGCGGCATCTACAGTCCTATAATTCATTCATTGAAACATTCAGGAAGTTACTTCTATGTAGCAGGCAG